TCTCTCTCTCTCTCTCTCTCTCTCTCTCTCTCTCTCTCTCTTGTATACACACACACCCCTTACAAAAACAAAAGAAGAAAGAACGCATCTGCGCCCCATCACAGACACCCCCCCAACCCCAGCACCCCCCACCCAGACCAACCCCCTCATCCCTCCACCAAAACCAAAATTTTATTGCAGATTCGGGGTCCTCTCGCCGAGCACAGAACAAGCCCGGTTTCAAAAAATAAATAAAAAAATTCTGGGCATTTTTTTGTCCTGCCCAGTTTACCCGGGCGGCCCCCCCGGGCCCAACTGGCAGGGCAGGCCCGGCCGCGCGGCGTCCTCACTCAGGTGAAATGCATGAACTTTGAGACCAGAAACATCACCTCAGAGTGGAAGACAGATGGGCGTTCACACCGTTCACCCAATCCAATAAACAGCAGGTTGCAACCACCATGAAATCAATAACCCAATCGAGTTACCAACTTACCGTACTTTTACATAGGCAAACTGTGTGTGACCGTGTGTTGTCGTATCCACCTATACACTCAAAAACAGCTGTCCATAATTCACCGGACTGTTTCGTCGGACTTCCAACAACTCGTCAGGAGGTTGTGTGTGTACTGTCCATAATTCACCGGTCGTGAAAAAATACGATATACTCGGCCGGTATTGCACTGTGATTTGGAGGAGGCCGGTAAAGCAACGAGTTTCGGTCGGTAATGCAAGCCGGGACGAGTTTCGGAGGCCAGGCCGATAACTGAACAAAGGCCGCCGATGATAATTATCAGTGACGGCCCAACGGCGGCCCAGTCCCCAAAAAATGCTGTACAGGCCAAGGCTGTGCCGGCAACCGGCCGGTTCAGCTCGCCCGGTGCAACCGGGGCCGGACCGTCCCAGAGGGGGGGGCAAACCGGAAACCGGCCGGTTGTGAAAAAGCATGCCCTCTTTTTTCCTGCGGATTTCGATTGCGCTCTTCAAGATCTGTCAAAATCCGCAGTAAAATTTTGAATATGCTATTTCTTTTTCGGAGGGTTTTTGGCCGGGGGGGGGGAAGGTATTATAGGGTTGGGTCTAGGGAGATGGGACTTTCACGCGGAGGGGTCAAGTAAACAAGCGTAGTTGTTCGACTCCCAAGTGCAAAATTCAATTCAGCACTGTAAGATGTAATGGACTACATCATTAAGTATAGCCACAACACTCACGAGACTCAGAGAGACACGCTGATATGAGGTCCTTGCCAAAGGTTATAGCTCTTCTTCCAGAGTATTGCGCTCCAGAGCAAATAAGTTATGGGTTCAGGTTTGAGCTCGTGCAGGAAGAGCCCTTTCTGTTTGGATTTTTGTATGTACGGTGGTTCATCAGTCCGAAAGCGTTCTGTCCAGATAGATATAGTGCAGCTGAGGTCCATTCTTGGACTTGCACCTCGGACAGATTTGCTGCACTCTTCACGAATCCCGAACTCGTAACTTCTTTCCCAGATCGTAGCAACGCCGAAGAAGAATATAATCTCAGGAAGCCCCAGTTAAAGTATGCCGTGTTCATCCTCGTGTTCATCCTCGTTTTCATCCTCCTGACTCGCAGTGGATGAGTGAGTAGGACCTGTCACTTAGGTCCGGTCCGTGGTCCATCGTCGAACCACACATTGCCGAGTTGGAAAACCACGGCCTACTGGACCTCACATCTTGAAAAACATGAGCGGTGGTACTCCATCGCTGCCGCTTTTCAAAAAGTGGATCCAAAAGGCCCCCTTTTTTTCTTTTTTTTTTTACGGAGGCAGCAGCCTCCTGGGGTATGGGCAATCGCCGGGGTATGGGCAATCGCTGGGTTGAACCAGGGGTCTGACGGGCCAGTCGACCAAACGGTCCAACCGGGAGGCTCCCGGTTGGAGGAGGGGCCCCCTGTCCATCCGGGGAACCCAGCCCTGGTATAGGGCTATATTCCCACTTGGAACTCCAGCCTGAAAGATACTGACAGTTCAACTCCACCAAAACAGAAAGAAAGAAAAAGAACTAACAGTGCCAGGCTGTTTTGTTGGATTCTGTGCGTGCGACGTCATGTTTTTCGCTCTACACAACTGCACAAAAACGAGCATGATTGACTTTGCCAGACTGTTTCGTCGCAGTTTTCACCAACTCATCAGGAGGTTGTGTGTGTGTGTGTGTGTGTGTGTGTGTGTGTGTGTGTGTGTGTGTGTGTGTGTGTGTGTGTGTGTGTGTGTCGCACATCTACGGTTCCCTCACTCGCAGAGGAGTTGTAAATACAACACATAAATGCGAACGTGGGGAAAAGACTTTCCATCGTTTCCGAGAAGTTGCCAAAAATAGGGTTTAGAAATTTAGAAAACATTATACCATTGCACTTCACAGCGTTCACACCTCAAGAGTGCTCCCTAGGCAAACATCAAAATAGCTGGAGGGAACTCTCTCTCTCTCTCTCTCTCTCTCTCTCTCTCTCTCTCTCTCTCTCTCTCTCTCTCTCTCTCTCTCTCTCTCTCTGCTTTGGGCTTGGTTTAGGAGCTTGCATGGCAGTCTTCTGTCGACCCTCGGCTCAGGTGCATCACCCACAATGACCACAACAACTGCGCGCGGACGTTATGTGACACAAGTTTCTGCTTTTGCACAGGTAGGCATTGTCGCGTTTGCCATACAGAACTCCACAGAAGAAAAAAGTCATATTCGCTGTGGTTCCCGACTCGCTAGAACCGACGAAGTGTTTTAGTCTGTCGTGTTTTTACCATTTTCACCATTTCGAGTCGGACAACACATCCTTGCAGTGGTGAGGTAGATGACGCCGACGATATGGTTGCAATTTGGAACACCGTGTCCTGGCTTTAATGGGGGTTACGAGACTTGCCTCTTGAGGCCGAGGTGACTGATTCGAATCCGTGCAGGTGCGCACGCCAGAGGGCCCTGACCGCCGACGTACAGATCTATATCTGCTTTCACCCACCCACTCATCAGGTCTGTGAATGTCTCCTTAGTCAGTAATGAAGGGCATGACGACAGGAGTCTATGAATATCATATCATCTTTACAGTGATGTTGTTGTATCCCATAACTTTAGGTTGTTTCACACATGACAAACGAAAAAAACAAAATGCTATCTGAAAATCGTCTCAATGGCACCTACGGTAGTTTCAATTTTAAATACAGAAAGAAGAAGGCAGATTTTCAAAGATGCGAAAAAAGACTCGGTTTTCGTCACGAAAATGTGTTACGTTTCTTTTTTTTATATATAAATGAAAATGTGGTAAGTAACTTGCACCAACATTTTTATTATCAACCCTTCACTACACAACAGCTTGGTAGGGGGCCTCCTTCATCCCCCCGCTCTCCCCCCCCCCCTCCAGCAAACCCACCCCAACCCCTGAAATGAACGTAAAGACTCTCTCATGGACTGGGAAGAAGGCCTTATGTTTCCAGACGGAAAGCAGGAAGCTCCCTTCTCTGTGAACTGAGGTTAGCAAAGGGGGGGAAATAGAGGGCGTCAGAAACGTGGTCGTACCTGTCCGGTGTGATCGTCTTCCGGTGGCCATTGTAACGCCGGTGCCCTTCCACAGCTTGTGCCATATGTCCTGCGTACGTCGCAATGAAAACATTGCTCTCCACCGCCACCATGTAGTCCAGCGCGGCTAGTTGTGTGCCGTGCCCTCTGAACAGAGCCAACTCTTCAGGGGTTGCAATATCATTCTGCAAGGACACAGTGCTGAAACGTCAGCAGAGTCGTCAACATCTGCGGCAGGACTGACGCTGACGTTCCAGAAGACTACGGCAAAGACGCATTGGGGCGCTCTTCCCTTCCGCCGTTGCGCCAGGATTGCTGTGTCAGTGCGAGAGAAAGCTCGTACGCAGCCTTTAAGATTAGCTGGTTCGGTAGCCTACCTTCGCATCGTCTTACCCCGAATGCAAAGTACATCGCACAGTCATTATACTTGTATTTGGAGAAATTTCAGGTCTCGATGCAAGGATAATGGTCGTGCGTATGTTCTATTCGGGGGAAAGACAGTAATCGCAAAGTGAATTTTAGGAACGAAGATACTCACACAAATAGAAACGTTCAGTCCAAAGACTCTTGGTGTGAGTATGCGCATTCAGAAGCAACAAAGAAGGCAGAAGGACAGAGATGAGCTCTTGCGCAGAGGGAAGAACGGATATGAACTTTTTCGAAATCAATCCATGACACAGTTGGCGCTGGTCATTGATCAGCGGCAAGGCCACATGACAACGGAGATGAACTTTTGCGACAGAAAATATATATATCCATAACACAGGATGGCCAACTCCAAAAAAAAAAAAAAGGACGTATGCCGTACAGTCATTGTCGCGGAATCTTAGGCCGCAAGTTGTCGCAAATACAGCTATTAAGACCGAACATACTTTGAGGAAGACGGTAGACCCAACTGGAGGAGTCACAGCTTTCTGTCTCTATGTTGAGATGATAGACGACATCAAAGGTGGTGTCAATTACCATCTTCACCCAAATAGAACGGACGGTCATATCACTGAACCTAGACTGAAATCTGTCCCAAATACAGCTATAATGACCATACTTTACTCTGTGTAAGACTGTAAAGCCAGCTACAGGAGTCTTGAGCTTTCAGTCTCTACGTTGAGATGAAAAACTAAGGTGGAAGGAAAAAAAAAAAAAAAAAAAAAGGAAGAAAAAACTTCAAAAAAGATGTCATGAAAGGCCTTCCACGATTCAGACCCCAAATCCGGATCCCAGGGTCAGATGCCCTGGTCAAGAAAAGGCCGAGTTCGCCAAAACTCAGAAAAGTCACACTCAGGTACCTCAGCAGTCTGGTCCAACAGGCACCCAGCAAACGGTCACATCTCAGGCACAAGAGTCACGTCTCATAATAAAAAGCCATTTTGAAGAGTCACATCCCACGAGTGAAAAGGCAGAATCACAAGCAAGAGTAATATCTCAAAGGCAGGAGTCACGACTCATAATGAAAAGTCGTATTAAAGAGTCACATCCCACCAGTAAAAGGCCAGTTCTACAGGCAAGAGTCGTGTCCCAGAAGCAGGAGTCACAGTCCACAGTCAAAAACCCATACGCCAAAATCGAAAAGTCATTACTCAAAGGGCCAAGCAGCAGCAGACCAATGGAAATTCGGGAATGTTCCAGGCCTTGACATTCAGAACCAGACAGGCGGTGGGGATGTGGTATCCCGGAACCAGTCAGGCCCCAGAAAGCAGAGGCTGGCATGAGTTGAAGTGCATTCTAAGACGACAAAAGGACTAGCCAGCCTACCATTCGGGCAGATTGCTCATTCGCAAGAAGTGTGGAAGTGTTGGTGCACTTGTGCGCTGATGTGAGGGGCAGAGCGCTGAAGCCAGAGTGCTGCGCTAAGGGGGAGAGAGAGAGAGAGAGAGAGAGAGAGAGAGAGAGAGAGAGAGAGAGAGAGAGAGAGAGAGAGAGAGAGAGGAAGCTATAGCTGCGCCAGCACAGAGTGTTAGTAGTAGACTTCAGATAGTTAGTAGGCTTATCAGTGGGTGTATTCAGAGTAGATCTTGGAGTAGAAGTTAGTGTGTGTGTGCATGCATGTAGGGAGAGAAGATACAGCGAGGTCATAGCAAGAGCGAAGACCAGCAAGGAGGGGTGATACAACTAAGAGAGAGAAGAGCAGCGAGGAAGACGATACTTACCTGGGTGATTATGTTGGATGTTTGGCTACCTATGACATGTGCTGTTGTGCGCCGGTGACTCGGAACTCTTATCGCTCTCGTTATAACTTGTTGGAATCCATAAGCTGCGCTATCCGGTCTTAATCTCTCTGGTCTCCAGTGTGGACTTCGTGTGAACTCGTACATGCATATGGTGTGAATATGTGCGCTCATCGGTGTTGAGCTGGGAGGTTCATTGCAGTCAGCACAAACACAGACTTAAGTTCCCTTTCCTAATGATGATCCTGGCAAAAAAAAGGAAGAACGACCGCCCCATCTGAGACTCCGACACTTTTCAGGCCTGCAGAACTGCCGTGACCATCTTCCCCCGAGCCTGTGTATCGTTCCAACTTTAATAAATGTGACATCATCACCCGTGCGCAAAGACGACGCGCATTAATTGAGAAAAATGGTCCAAGTTGTCACGGAAGCGGGGGGTGCCGTAAGAAATTATTAAAAAAAAAAAACAAAAAAAAAAAAAACTAACCCCATGCAATTCAGCACGCCAGGAAAAAAAAAAAAAAAAAAAAAAAAAAAAGTCGGAAAGATTGGAAAAACAACTGTGTTCTTTTTCAACAAGCCAGACAGATTTGCAGACAAGATGTCGCGGCGACGCCCCGCCTAATTCTGAGTTCTTTTAGGAACAACGGCAAGATCTACGCGCAGAGACAGACTAATCAATGGCAGGCAATGAATGCATGCTCACCTTGCGAATGATATTTGGAAAGCGCTGCCTTAATGGTGTCAATTTCTGTTGCCCACCATATATTTCCCCTGCTGCAATGTATATGGTCGTGTTTCTGGGGAATTCCATTGCCTCGAGCATCAACGAGACCTCTTCAGGAGTGAGCGGACATCTCCCATTTATACGCTCAGCCTCCGAGTCGATCTCCTTCTCACTCCAATGTGCTGTCCTCAACCTGTGATCAAAAGCAAAAGAATATTTAAAAAACAAGTCCACAGAAAAAACGTTTACAGCTCTACATGCATAACAACGAACCCATAGAGCAAAAACGTCTGCATACATCACTGGCAGTTGGTCTGTGCCATGGCCACCAGCAAGTCAGAGGCAGCTACGACAGAGAGCAAGGGGGCGGCAGGTTGCCACTGCCACACCAATCACCGTGCAGGGAACGGAAAAGAGGGTGGGGTGGTGGTGGTGGTGTTGGAGGCCAGAGAGCTGCACAAACTTCAAAGTTTCTGATAGCGATGCACATGCCATCAGAAATGAATACTGCTGCAAAGAGGGAGGGGGGGGGGGGTTAGAGAGATGCCAAAATGCCCAGTTGGGATAGAAGAGGAAGGGGGTGCACCACCAGACCTGGGTCACCTGAACACCCTCCCCCCACCCTTTGTTCCCCGAGTGGCAGCGCGAAGAACATGAGACCAGGAAAAATGGGAAAAAAAAAAAAAAAAAAAAAAAGCCCTGCACCCCAAACTTTCTTCTTCTGAGTCTGACCAGCAACTACTGACCTGATTTGCCGTAGCTCTTCCGCTTGTGACTTGTTCAGTCCGTGATTGCAACCGCTAAATGCGAGCATGTCTTTCTCATATCGCAAATGAAGGGCCAAGAAGGGGCCCCTAGCCCGTAGCCTGCGGACAAGAGTCTGGTATCACATACGCAAATGAAGCATCAAGTCATTCACCCTTCGCTTGTAAACAAGAGTGTACCATCATCGTACAACAGCAAACTGAAGTGACGCATCCATTGCGAAAGGGCACACATTTGTGTGGGCTCGCCGAAATCGCTAACGGCTTCGCTCGAATACCGCGTACAGTCATTATTGCTGTAACTAGACTCAAAGTCGGCCCAAATACAGCTATAATGACCATACGTTGTATTCAGGTTAATACGGCAGTCCAGAGACCTTGTCACCTCCTCCACGATTCACACATCATTCGCAGGCGAAAACGCTTAAAGAGCACGCGCGCCTGAAGTACAGGCAAAGCCCCCATCCATCATCAAATCACACATTCTCAAATTACGAAAACAATTCAAAGGGTGAGGCCGTCGCACTTTCCCAAACTCCTCTCACTTCTCACCGGAGACCACAAGAAAAAAGAAAAAAAGAAAAAAAGAAAAGAAAAAGACCAGGAACATCAAGAGTCAGCACCAAAGAATCGAGTCAGGGATTCGAACTCGTGATGCATTTATTAAATTTTATTTAATTTTATTATTAATTATTAATCACACATTCTCAAATTATGAAAACAATTCAAAGGGTGAGGCCATCGCACTTTCCCAAACTCCTCTCACTTCTCACCGAAGACCATAAGAAAAAAGAAAAAAAAAAAGAAAAGAAAAAGACCAGGAACATCAAGAGTCAGCACCAAAGAATCGAGTAAGGGATTCGAACTCGTGATGCATTTACTTAATTTTATTTAATTTTATTATTAATTATTAATAAGAAAGTTATTAATAACTGCATATGTACACCATCCAGTCACACAGACCGAGTTCTGACAGCATGATAAAAGCCCCCTCTCGAGTTTAAATACTCATTTTAACTGAGAGCATACTCACTCTAGGCCTTTAATGGATGTACCTGGCCGGAATTACAGCTTTATCCTGCACGTATTTGACCACCATTGTGTTCCGAAATCCGTCGAAGTTCGAACAGTCAGTCAAGTCCGACGTCTTCACTTTTTCTTGTCATCGACTCATCTGCAAAGATACCTTGCGGGTGCAGGGGCCATGCTACTAGTCTGAATGTACCTGGCCAGAATTACGGTCATGTACATACACAAGGATACCTTGAGGATAAGCCGTTAACTATGGCCAGGTGCATCTAGGATACCTCGAGGGGGCAGGGGACAAAATGAGACTCAAATGACTCGCACATTGTGCTCTCACAAACTGGCGCCGACGAAACGGCAAGGTAAATGCGCAGAAGCCACACAGCAACGATCAGACATCTACACAACTACCACGAAACGTACTGACAATATTGAAAATTTGAAATGCTTTTTATTTTTTTCAATATTGAAGTGATTTTTAATAAATATTGGTATACTTTAATTGAAATGTTTTTTTGTTTTTTTTACTTTTTATATATTGAAAAATGCTTTTGATGGAGAAACAACACCCCTCGCTCCTCCATCAGTCAGCAACAACAATAAGAACAAAGCTCACAAACATCACTCCTTGCTTGGATATTTTACAACAACAACAACAAAAAAGCAACAACACTCGTCTCGTCCTTGGAGAGTTTCTCAATAACTCTGCCAATGTGTGTGATCAATCACCCTGCCCACTACTACCCTGCAATCGCCTACGTCCTGATTTCGCCCTTGTCCTCAACGTCGCTCAGCACCGCGCTCCTCCCGTCGATCCAATTAACGAAGGTGGTCAATTGGGGCTTTCATTCCCAAAGAAACAACCAGGTAAGTCTCCTCCCCTCCCTCTCTCCTTACACCCAAGGCAACGTCGTACGGTCAGGGTACTCAGACGTACAAACAAAAAAAAAAAGAAAAAAAAGAAGGGTTTTCTGCACTCTCCCAGAGGACCCTGAATCCGGGCTCATTTCTTTTTTTGAGAGTTGCCTGTCAAGCGGGGGGGAAGGGGAGTATAAATAAATTGGTTTTAAAGGGGCTAAAGGGGTTTAAAGGGGGGTGCCTTAGTGTGATTCTGTTGCTTTTCTTTTTTATCTCCGATTCTGTGAGGAATTCTTATGTGGCCCTCAGCCAAAAGTCGTTCGTATTGCAATGCTACACAACTGGAATTTTTTTATTTCTTTTTATTATTTTTTTGCGCAGGGCTGCTTAGAACCCTGCCCGGGAGGTCATGCCCGGCCAGGCACCCGGGTGTGTACCCGGGCATAAGCCCCAAAAAACAGCCTAGGCTACCAAGTCAATATACATATTATGACCAAGTACATATCGTCAAACAGAACTGCCTAAAGTAACCCGTAGGCAGAGAGGGAGAAGAGTACAACAAACGAGGGAGGGGCTGTGACAGACTGTTTCGTCGGAGTTTCACCGACTGACTCATCAGGAGCCTACATATTATTATGCAGTTTTAAATGCTGAATCAACTTCAATCGAGTAATTTAAGCCTTTCTGCACAACACAATGCAACGCATTGCCGCAGCAAGAGCATACATACCAGTGATGAAAAGAGTGTACATACCAAAGACGAAATTTACCTCTTCTACAACAACAACAATTGTCTAGATACCAGTGTAAAAAAAGAGACAAATTGCAGTAGTTGAAGAAAAGACAAATTGGACAATTAAACATTGAAAACCAGATGTCCTTCGGGACATGCGTTAAGCCACCAGTACCTTTATCGGTTCGAAAATACTCGGCCTCCGACCTTTCAGGAGGCCGAAACAAAACGACGGCCGCCGATCAGATTGATCAACGTCGGGCTCCGCGTCCTGAAAGTTCGGGTACTGGCCAGGACTTGTCGAAACCGGACGCTAAAGGTACCGGTGGTTTAAAATTAGAACGATACAGAGAACAAGATTAGCATGGCCCCTGCGCAAGGACGACACGCATACATCGACAAAAAAAAAAAAAGACTACCACTCCCCCAAGGCTCCCACAGGTCTGGTGAGTTCTTCGGCACACTCCAGATGATGCATGAATCTTCCAAACTATGAGCGAAACGGAGCCGCAAAAGTGCACTGGAACAAGCCCAAAAATAAAAGAAGTTACGACAATGATGGTGCTGAATGTTCGCATAGTCTGCCGGACAATGCTTTCTCTCACAAGTAGAGAAATACTGTTTTTTTTTTTTTTTTTTTTTTTTAGCGGTCAACGAGTAGCTCAAAATCCGGTAATGAACATTTTGAAGTGAGAGTTTAGGCAATCTAAAAATTATGAATGGTCTTGAAAAAAAAAAAAAAAAAAAAAAAAAAAAAAAAAAAAAAAATCTTTTTTTAAAAAAAAAAAAAAAATTTTTTTTTTTTTTTTTTTTTTTTTTTTTTTGAACAAACAGATCATTCATTGCAAGACCAAAAACTGAGGACGGGACGGGAAATCCCTCAACACAAAACCCAGGGAGATTACTGGGACCATTACCCAGCTTAGGTGCAGGCTTCGTCCGGAATTATGTCCAGGAGCAGATTTGGCCAAAACGGGACCGCCGTCCTGACTTCCGGAATACTATTTTATATCTACATCTACATTTGAATATTATGAATTGATATAAATATATTATTATGAAATTATGAATGCAATGTAATGAATTTTATTTTTTTTTATCCATTTTAATAATTAATGCATGTACTAAATGGTCATTTCAGGTGGAAGTGGGTGTTGCACTGCCTTTGCAAACAGCGTGAGTCCAGAGTCGGGGGCATACCTCACCAAGTTCCCGAATCGGCTTCGCGAACCTCAAGGCATCAAATTGCGCTCGGCAGCGAAGTTTCTGAATATCAAGTGGCAGATCGTTATTCGCTAACCGCGAATCTGTCTTCGTAGCGCGCAAAATCTAGGACAAACAAAACACCCTCCACCGTCCCACCCCACAACACTCCCCCCTTTCCTCCMCCCCCCCCCTCCACCCCCCCTCCTTCCCAAATGCCATGCACACAACAAAGCCAGCAAAGCCAATTCACCCGGTACTTTAGCACTGTACACGGAGAATAGCATATAACAGTTCGAAGTAGAGAGTTAAGTGCAAGTTTTCAGGAGTTTAAGCTAAGTGGATGAGAGCTTTGCGTGTACTTCTAAGTTCTAAGGCTAAACTTCTAGAAAGTTCATGGCTAACACATAGCTTTAGCTAATACTAGTCAATAGCAACCAGTTCCATCCCTCTCCTACCCCCTTCCCCTTTCTTTCAAGTACTCCGCTCTACGTTCCTTCCCCCCGATTCCCTTTACATGGTTTGCATGGTTCGTCCTGCATTCTGCAAACTCAACACTGATATGATCCCATTTCCAGTACATATGCAGAATACACGCACTCTCTCTCTCTCTCTCTCTCTCTCTCTCTCTCTCTCTCTCTCTCTCTCTCTCTCTCTCTCTCTCTCTCTCTCTCTNCTCTCTCTCTCTCTCTCTCTCTCTCTCTCTCTCTTTCTTTTGCAACTGGAAGTGACCTCATCATGTAAATGCATGATACTTCATTGATCACCTGGATCGTCAATCGAGCACACATTTGCGGCCTGGATTGCAGCCTCATCATGCAAATGCGTGATACTTCGTTGTTTTCACCTAGGTTACCTGGGACTCCCAGCTGGCAGGATCATGTGACTTGCCTTCCGCACCCACCAGTTAAAGTGATTTAAAGGGGGTTGAAGGGATTTTATTCGTACTAGTAGAGTCAAATAGAGTAACCTCTCAGGCTGTGTATAAAAATACTCTTGCATCATAAAATTGAAATTAATATTAGGTGCTTATTAATTAGCACAGACCAAACAAATAGAGGGGGAAAATATATTCGTCATAATAGAGTCAAATAGAGTAATGCAAGGCTCAAGGCCTCGATAAGCCCTATTGGGCCCTCTTTTCAGTACAGTCGGCCTCCCTAAGTGAAGGCAGGCCCGACCAAGTCCTATTTTGGGGTCTCCACGCTACTGGGGAAATTCAGACAGTTGCGCAGCGCCAGTTGGTTGAAAGCGCCCAGGCCCTGACTGCTTTTAAGTTTTAACAAATGCATCTGAGTCAAGCCCTGGGTGAGATACGCAACAAGGACCCAACACAGGCTGCGGGCAGTTGGGCACAGGTAACTGTCACAGGCCCTGGGCCTGATTCATTCAGACTGGGGCTCAGCCTCCCGGGGCCTACCAGAAGCTTCTGGGCCGGGGCCCGGTGCAGCCAGGTCGCAGGCAGGCCACTTCCATTTAGGAAAGTGCCTGCCCCCGGATTCCTCATTCGGGCACTGGCTGCATGCTGCGCAAGCGCTGGCCAGCGCTCACCCGCTCACGGGCGAGCAGGGAGAGCAGGCAGCCATAGCCGAGCTGCGCTGCATAGCTGGATGGGGCGCATGTTGGTCCTTGGGTGCACGTTGCATCTGTGAGTGGGGATCGAGGTTGTGAGTGATACGAGAGACATACCTGGTGCTTCAGGCGAACGGTATTGGCCGAGATCTGCTCGTACTTCGGGGACCTGTTGACGTCACCACCGGCATTGTAGATAGGCTAGATAGGATCTGCCATTTGTAGTCTGGGCGCAGAGCGCCAGATAGGATGTCGACATTGGTTCTTTGTTGATGATGATGAGACTAGTCGAACATTGTCACTTACGCGCTTCTTCTGTGCTCTTATTTGGTGGGACTCGTGTTGCAATTCCGCTTTTGGTTCGAGGTCACTACTATCTGGTCTCACGTGTATGACGCAGGTTGGTTTCTGAAGTTCGCTATCGCTCATTTTCCTTGCAGTAACCTCTCGATGCGGACTCTTTTTTTTTTTTTTTTTTTTTTTTTTTTTTCCGCCCCCTCTATATGTTGGAGGCCACAAACCAAACAAAGAAAGTCTCCTTCATTATTGAGCATGCGGACCAAACAGATAGAGTCTCCTTGGACACGCATGTTAAAAAATATTCGTAATAATAAAAATTATTAAGCACCTAATATTGAGCAACACTCCATCAATGGAGAAGACTAAAAATAGCTAACTCCGCACCTCCTCCAGAATGACTGGTAATATTATAAATAAAAGAATCAATTCTGTTTTTTTTTTAATCGACAAATTGAAATGTTGGCAAAATTTCATGAAAGTGCACTTTTGGCTTGCTGTTTTATATGTTTTTAATTTTTTTTTTTCGGTTTTAGTTTTACAATAAGCTAGTAAGAAGTGCACTCTACAAATTGGTGTGAAGTATGGTTAAAATGACTCAATTGGTTTTCTTATAAATAGGGGTGAAAATTGGGGGGTCGGTTAACCTTCTGTCAGGAGTTGATGTAATCAATATCCCTTTGGCGTGTCCACAACTTTGTGACCACTGATGTAAAATCAATGATCAATCCCTTTATGGGTTTGGTGCTTTGGGACTTTGGAACCAGTTCCACTTTTCTTACCTGGCACTGCTCGAGGAGAGGCACGATTTCCGTTTCGTAGTACCAAACATGGGCCCAACTTCGAAAGGACTTTCGGCATCTGGGAGCCTTACTGAATCCAGGAGGGAGCTTGCGAACAATGTTGATGTCACCTCTCAGGCTGTCTATAAAATACTCTGCATCGAAAAGATCTGCAAAAGTACTACACGCGAATTGCCCAATCCCCAAAAGCATACCCCAAGCACATCAGATTGCTTCACCCACAAAGACAGCCTGCCTCCTGACATAGAGTTTGAAAATGGGATCCTTTGCAAAACAAAAGAAAACATGCACGCAAGCACATGCCATACAAGACAGAAGGACTCTCTCTCTCTCTCTCTCTCTCTCTCTCTCTCTCTCTCTCTCTCTCTCTCTCTCTCTCTCTCTCTCTCTCTCWCACACACACACACACACACACACACACACACACACACACACACACACACACACACACAAAGAGCAAGGCGAAGAGAAAGCAGAAAGAGACAAACAAGCAAGGAAGAAACGGAGGAAAGGACCAAAGGAGAAAGACAAACAGCAACACGAGGAAGAACAACCAAGCACAAAACAACAACAAGTACCAAAAAAAAAAAAAAGAAGGACGAAGAAGAAGAGCAACAACAACAACAAAATAACACAAACAGCAATACGAGGAAGAACAGAAGAGCAAAACAACAAGAAGAAAAAGAAACAAAAAAAGACGACGACGAAGAGGAAGAAGAGCAACAACAACAAAATAACACACAGCAGCACGAGGAAGAACAACAACAACAACAACAACAACAACATCAACAACAATAACAATAACAATAACAAAAAAGAAAGAAAGAGAACGAGGAGGGAAAGAAAAGAAATTGGCGCGCCGTCCACAATGAAAAGAAAACAATCGGACCAGCCATCCTGCCACAATGATTTCCCAAGCGCAAGAAGCAGGAGGAGGAGGAGGAGGAGGATGGTAGAGGACGAGGGGAGGAAGATGAGCGAAAGAAAAGAAACCGACCTGTCGTCCTGCCAAAATGATTTTTTGTCAAGCTCAGGCAGAACCAGAGTTATGTTCAGTATACGTGCCACCGCCACCATATCACAGATCTGCACATCACCGATGACCAGCTGTCAGCCACACTCAAACACAACATACCAGCCCTAGGCAAAGGTACGATACCAGAGGGGGAGGGCTGGGGGGGGGGAGGGGGGTAAACAGGGTGGCATATATGACCAGAATATGCCACACGATTCCGGATTACGAGTCCTCGATCTTCAGGAAGTGTAGATGTGTCAAGGACACGGATAGCTCTTATATGAACCCCTGTAGCTGGGATAAGCAGGGGGCCCTAACCAACTGGGGTTAATGGGACCCACCCTATACTGGGCTTTATGGGACAAGTGGGGGGTCCCTGACCTGCTGGGGTTTATTGGACAATATCTTTTTATAGGGATTTATGGGAAAAATATGGGTCCTTGATCCTCACCTACTGGGGTTCATGGGTCAGGCATTTTCAGGTAGTGAAGATGTGACAAAGACAGTGTATGCTACGCTGACCCATAACCCCCCTTAGGTCAGGGAGGGTCAGGGAGGGTCAGGGACCCCTCCTGCGGTTTTATTTGTCAACCTTCTTCTGACATAGGGCAACATGGAGAGGATAGAGAAAAAAGACAAGGGTAGCTGAACCCCATAGTAAGTATACACACCCCTGCTCTCATTTGGTTCAAACCACCGTTGCATGTTGCCACTAGGAACCGCGTCGCTTCCTCACTCGGACCTGCAATAAGACCATACGATAAATCACGCAATCGCAAATATGAGTTAAGAAAATTGACGCTCATATCACTCCCGCTAACAGAACGACCTTGGGATTTCCCCCCCCCAAAAAAAAAAAAAAAAACACATTGTCAGGCGTTTTAATCGACATCGTAATGTAATAATGGAACCATTGTCATGTAATGGTATCACTCTAATATACTGTAATCATTGTAATAATGTAGTTTAAATCATAAATGCATCTTAAAATCATAAAATGTAATGCATCTTAAAATGCAATATATTTTTTTATTGTTTTTTTTTTTTTTTTGGACGATTTCTCGATTTACGCACGCCATCATCATTGTAATAAAATGTCACAACTTCCGTAATCGATGTAATGTGTGTCATAATAATGTACTCATTCTAGTGTAAAGTTTTGTAGTGTAAAGTTTTGTAGTGTAAAAGTGTAAAATTTTGTACTGTAAAAGTGTAAAATTTTGTACTGTAGAAGTGTACAATTTTGTAATTAAATCATTGTAAAGTGAATTAACGAAGTAATAATGTGATCATCGCCACGTAAAGTTTTCAATGTAACCATCTGTGTCACCAACCAGGCTGCACAGGTCACCTTTCGGTTGCCCAGGCGGCACCCTCGCGCCAGGGCTACGGACAGTCCCTGGGAAGAAAAAAAAAAAAGGAAAAAAGAAACGAAGGCCGCAAAAGTGACCAGCTTCCCCAAATAGAAAGCAGGTTTTGGCGATTACAGCTGGCTGCAGAAGCTGTATCTTTGGAGGCAGCTTTCAGTCTAGACATGGCGATGATGACGATGACAGTGTGTTCTGTTCGGAGGACGACGGCAGTGCACATACACAGAAGCATATCCAATTGCTACCCATGTTTGGAACCCCCTCTCACCCATCCCTCCCTCCCTCCCTCCCTCCCTCCCTCCCTCCCTCCTCCCCACACTCTTCCTGTGCAAAGCCTGTGTCGAATTCCGGTGAAACCGGTGTCATGCCCAAGTGATTAATGATCAGTTACGCGCTCTCCATGTGCAACAGTATGGCTCCAACTCGAGTCAATGGGTGTAATGCACAACTGATTTGTGGATTGTATGTATCGTCAAACAGAGCTGCCCCGTAAACCGTAGGCAGAGAGGGAGGGACAAGAGGACAACAAACGAGGGGCTGTGATAGATAGATCGTCAAACAGAACTGCCCGGTAAACGAACGACAGATACGGAGCAGAGAGGGAGAAGAGGACAACAAACGAGGGGCTGTGATAGATGGATAGGATCGTCAAACAGAACCGCCCGGTGAACGGAAGACACAGAGGGAGAAGAGGACAACAAACGAGGGGTTGTGACAGACTGTTTCGTCGGAGTTTCACCGACTCGTCAGGAGGCTGAATTATAATATAAAACATCGTCATAGAAAGCCGCGCAGTGAACCAACGTAGGCAGAAAAGGAGAAAAAGGGCAAGAAACGCAGAGCTGCGACAGAGTGTTTTGCTGTCAGTTTCACCAAATTAACTCATCAGGAGGCTGAATCCTTTGCAGTCTGCAGAGTCCCATAACCAATTATTTCCACTCAATCCAGGGGTACCATGCTGACTGGCCATCCCAAAGTCTTCCAGGGTGGGCCTATTTGGCATCGGGGGCGGATTACTTCCGTCCGGTAGGCACAAGTAGGCCACAGCTTGCGATTGGACTGTACAGAATAGTCATGGTATCTAAAAGAAAAGAGAAGTGAAGGTATCTAAAAATAGATCGACTACCATCTTACCCCGAACACAACGTATGAAAGATACCCCAATTACATATACAGCTATAATGACTACGTACAGTGTATTTGGGTGAAAACGGTATGGGCATGGTCATCTACCCAGGTGACCAAATGGCTGATGAGAGCTCCGAAGAGGATTTTCCTACCGTCTTCACCCGAAAAACAACGTACGTAGTCGTTATATAACGGTATTTGAGGCATCTTTCAGTCTAGATACAGCAATCTAGATACAGCAATAATGACCGTTAGTACCCGTACATTGTATTCGGGTGAAGACGGTAGTGTGAATCTGACCTCCACTGAAAAAAAAAAAAAAAAAAAAAAAAAGATAATCCACCTTAACCCCGATCGCGATTGAGCATCAACGACTGCCCCCCCACAACAGATACCTCTCCGAGAGGGGGTGGCGACCAATCAACCACTGCACTGGCCTCCTCATGGGGTACTTGTGACACAAATCAAGGCAGACCATCCCTCACCCACACCAGACGGAAAAAATTCTACAGACAGCAGGTTAAGACCCCATCACAAGCCAGCCACCCCCCCCGTGAAACAGTGAAAGATCTGTGCCACAGGCAAGCAGACAGCAAATACACTCCAGACACGCCGCTTACGCGAATAGTTTGACGATGGCTGCACACACGGTCGATATCCTCGACTGGACGGGTCATCCCAGAGATCGAGCTTCTGCTCCTGCAACCAACCACAAACGCACAGATTCAAGACCAAATACATATCCAACAATTATCAGACATGTCCACACATGAAGCTGCTGATAAACAAATCACGAGCTCAAATCGTGATAGATACCATAGCGTTAGCTAACGAACCCCTTATAGATACAAAAGCACGTCGTTCAACCAAAGGAAAAAAAAAAAAAAAAAAAAAAAAGAAGGCCCTGGCTTCCATCGAAAAAGGGAGTGCATGGCGTGCACACATACAAAAGACGGGGCAAAGGTACCAAAAATTGACTAGGGAGCGAATCCTTTTTTTGATTTCTATTTTTTTATGCATTTCAATCGTGTGATCGATCCAACGGTTTG